CAAAAATGAACTTTACAACTTTCGTGCAGGGGGGCGGGGCAGGGAGGATGGAGGGGAGGATGGGAAGGGATGGGAAGGGGAAACAAAGGAGGCCGGCTACAATGCTTGATAAGAAATACACTTATTATCTTGCCCATGTAATTGTAACTCCTCTGTACAGTACTTTCACAATAAAAAAAATTAAAAAACAAACAAAAAAAGAATACAACTCAGTCCATACAATGGACTCTATAAGCAATCCAGTGACAGCAGATGTACTAAAGCTTTGTGTACTTACATCTAAAACCATGCTGTCCAGTATAACAGCTGCTACCATATATGGCTAATTAAACATATTAGAATTGAGTAAAAGTTAAGACGGCAATTTGTTGACATTAGTTATAGTTCATATGTTCACTAGCTATGTTACATATAGAAATTGCAGGATACATCCATTATTGAAAGGAGTACTATGGTAGATTAGTTCTAGTGTAGATAAGGAGCAAATACTAGAAGAGAGATATGAGGAAGAATTACATTACAGAGGGCTCCATTAGGGGACACTAACATTTCGCTGGGTCCACCATCACCAGAATCACAAATTCTTCCTGCATTTCCTGAAGAATTTTCTTTTTTTGGGGGGAGGGGTCCGGTCGTGGGGCCTGAACTCTAGGTCTGGGCACTGTCCCTCAGCTCTTCAGCTCAAGGCTAGCTCTCTACCACTTGAGCCACAGCGCCACTTCCAGCTTTTTTCTTTTTGCTTATGTGGTGCTGAGGAATTGAACCCAGGGCCTCATGCATGCAAGCAAGCACTCTACCACTGAGCCACCTTCCCAGCCCCTCCTGAAGAATTTTCTATCCCCATTAAGGTTCTCTTTGAATCTTGTCTTCTCCATGTGGTTTATTGAAAAATTTCTTCAAACTATGTAGAGTTTCTATAGAATTCATTTAGAATTTCTTCAAACTGTATTGGAAGTTCTAGGCTAGAGACCCATCTCCAAGGGGTTACACATATCAGGTCTGGTCACTGGCTGGAATGTGCCAAACAGTACTACTTGAAGAGAAAGATTTATTATACAATAGAAGCACATTGTGTAAGCATGTCCAGTACAGACTTGAGTTTTAGGTTTACATAGAAGAAGAACTGGGACACGGGAGAGAGAGATGCATTGCAGGTAAATAGCTCCAGTCACAGATGTCATCCCCTTGATCTGGTTGATCAGTATCTGAGGATGATTAGGCAGCCAGTGGCTGGTCAGGACAAGAAAGACAATGTTGTGTATGGGCCAGTTTCAACTCTTGTCACAAAGTGTTTTTTGTCAGTCCTGCCTTCCTCAATTCCAAGGTGGTTGCAAAAGGAACTGCAGAGAGAATAGCTCCAAGCACAGATGGAGGCAGAGATGCCAAGCTGGTCTCCTGCTCTTAGTGATCATCATGGGCATTTGCAGGTGCAAGTGAGGAGACAAAACAGTTCAAATACCCATCATATTCTTCCGGATTGAACTGTGAAGAAAGACAAGTTCTCTGTCTATTATAGTTAGGCTTATGATCCTTCTTTTCTTTAATAATTTTATTGTAAAAATAGTGTACAGAGGGGTTACAGTTACATGAGTAAGGTAATGAGTCCATTTCCTACTGAGCATTGTTACCCCCTCCTTTGTTTTTCCCCTACCATCCCTTTCCTCCCCACCTCCTCAACTACTCCCTCCCTCCCTCCCCCCACAAGTTGTAAAGTTTGTTTTCAACATAGTGTCTTGTACATCTCATTGTTACACTGGGTCAGCCTGCATATAATCCTTCTTTTCTTTAGCCCTCCTCCTCAACATGACTGAGGGAATTCATCGCTTTGTTTGTTTTCAAATTTGGTATTCATTTGTGATTTCTGTAGTCACATTTCTAAGTACCCTTAGTCCTTACAGGAGGTGTTTGGTTTCATAGTGTCTGCTGACTTTTCAGACAACAAAACACACTAGTGTGCTTAATGAGCATGATTTATTTCTTGTTCCAGGTCATTAATGAGGATGACCTAGTTGCAATCTAAAGGCATGCAAATCCCCTCAAGACAGTGTCTGAATAAGTGCAGAGCATAGTGATTTTTTTCATTACAACAACTGACATATATTTCTTCAACATGTACCATCTCTTCCTTGTTATTATTCCTTTGGTAATTTAGTTGCTAATTATCGATGGGCAGCAGCTAAGAACAGACCCCGCCACAGTGATGGATGAAGTGCAGAAGTTTCTAGGAGTCGCTCCTCATTATAATTACTCAGAAGCTTTAACGTAAGTTTATATTTTAATTAGCTTACAAACGTTTTACCAGAGAACTTATTTGAAAAAAAATGTGACTTGGTGATATAATTGTCTGGTGAGCTGTTTCTTAGGTAGTAATTGTTTTCTAGATTGGCATTCATCTCTGGGAAAAGAACATTTAAACTGTGACCATGACATGTTCTGAGTCATCTTTTGATGCCTAACTACACAAAGATTTGCCCTGGAAGGAAAGTAGAGAAACAAAATAGTTATGAAGCATCAAACCAACAACTAACCTTAAGAGAGAATGTATGTAATAAGTTGGTAAGGACCAAGCCTACTTAAAGGACAGCATTGGACCTTTCAGAAAATAAAGAGTGATTCACTATGGATCTTCATGTGGGTTTCAGAAACAATGTCATGCATCAGGAAATGGCCCACTAGGTGACTGAATACACAACAGTGGCCTACTTTCTTTTTGGGCTTCTTTACTCACTGTAAATCTGACTACGTCATTCCGCCTTCAGAAACCTCAGGGATTAACGGCACTGGCTTAATATGTGGAGTTTGCTCTTCTTGTTGTTTGTCTTGTTTTGTTTTGTTGTTGTTTTTTTTTTGGGTCCCGGTCGTGGGGCCTGAACTCTGGGCCTGGGCACTGTCCCTCAGCTCTTCAGCTCAAGGCTAGCGCTCTACCACTTGAGCCACAGCACC